CTCCTCCGGGGCAGGCGGGAATCGAACTCATGAGGAAGTGGCTTAAGCTTCTTAGTGCAGTGCTTTAACCCGCTGCGCCACCAGGGAGGGCCCATTGATGGCAATCTTATGCTGGGAGCAGGGGGCAATTTATTTGTGTCTTATTTATGGAAGGCATACTACAGACTCTTCCGTAAATGAACCGATTATATCCTGTTATAGGCCCTTATTAGTCATATATTATCCTAAGCCAGTAGGGAACCACCACAAAATGCAGTAGACCTGTTTTCGTGGATGGGTGGAAAGCCTTCTGAAATTGCATAGGACCTAAGCCGTGAGAGCAGCAAGTAAAACTAGCAGCAGCAGGGCTATTAATTATCTACCACTTACCGTACAAACACAGTCATTTCAGCTCTGTCTTCAATGAAGACACCTGACTCTGAAGGCCGGGGCGGATCAGCTTGCTGCTCAGAAGGGATGTACAGGGAAATGGTAATGGTAGACTCGCTGAAGGGACCTGAGCCGGGTTCCACGTAGCTTGTCACTGGAGCTGTCATCTTTATCTTCATCTCTGGATCATAAATGCATACATGACACAGGTGCACATCCACACCCACACAAAGGAGACCATGCAGACAGGTTCGGTGTCCTTCCCACGACATCTTTCAAAAGTGACCCACCATTTCCTGATCTGACTTTCTTAGTTGACTTTATTTTGCTTGCATACATATTGAATAACATTTTCATGTTTTAAAAAATAAGGTCAAAATTACTCTTTCATCCACTGACCGCATTAAACACGTTCTGTTTTATATTTCTTGGGTTAATATTTTCGGGTAAATCTGTTCTAATTTTTTTTTTTTTTGAAAAATCAGTGATCACATAGGCCTTTAATTTTACAGTTCAGTTAATATTTTGGGTTAATTCTGTTCTAATTTTTTGGGGAAAATCAGTGATCACATAGGCCTTTACTTTTACAGTTCAGAAACTGAGGTGACCAGCAAAAATATATAGTGGCAAGTTCCAGAACCAGAAGTCCTGGTGCTGGGCATAGTGTCCTGTGTACCTTTCTGCCTCCTAATGCCTCTGACCTTTCTGTTCTCTCTCCAAGCATTAGCCATGACTTAACACTAGTCACACAGCAACCCAGTTCATCCAGCAGAAACATTGACAAGAACCCACAGCTACTGCCCAGTATTACCCTCCTCTAGCTGCTGCCGAGGGCAGTCTTGCCTTAAAACACTGACCGTCTGCTTATTTCTTCAAAGCATAGATAGTTCTTTAACAAGCTAAAACTCAATAATAAGGCAGAGGCCTGAACCTGCCATATTTATATTTACAAGAGAAATGGCCTTCACCTTTCTCGTTTTTGCCTTGAATGTAGTCGCTCAGCCTAGTAAAGCCAGTCTGGATAGCTGAATCCCAGTCCATCGACTCAACACAAGTGCTGACCCACTTGGCTGGTCCATAGTGTCGGATCTCGTAACTTTCGGGCTAACAAGAAACAGAGAAAACTTGGGGAAGCAATTCAAATAGACCGTGAACAGGTGCCTTGATGGGGGGTGGCGGGGGACAGCCCCCTGGGGTCCCGCCAGAGGTTCTCATTGCTGAAGGTTTCAGGCCCCTCCCGCATGGCTGCGCCCCGGTTTTGGACGCCTCCAGGCTCCAGGCTCCGGCGCGCAAGTACGGGCAGTGGAGAGGGCGGGGTCGGCTCCTTCCAGTCGCCACAGGTCTGCCGGCCCCGCTCGGCCTATAGGGTCCCGCAGAGATCGAGATGCCAGTCAGTCCTTTAGATTTGGGGGTTTTAGCCACAAGCAAAAGAAATTGAGGTGTGGCTAGTACCTGGGCTTGCGACTTAAGGACCAAATTTTCGCCTTTATCCAGGAATGGGGGGCTCAGCGGCTCAGACCACTGAAAACTTGCTTTTGATACAAATCCCTGGCACCGCCCCGCACCGCCTTCCTGCCGATCAGTCTGTACACAGCCCCGGCACCCCGTTCCGCCCCTCCGCGCCCTGGGGAGTCGCGTACCTGGGACCCCGCGTCCCCCGGGGTCTTCCAGTCTGGCGTCTCCACGCCTCGGGCCGCCGAACCTTCGGCCGCCCCGGAGTCTGGCTGGAGCACCTCCGCCATGGACGGCGCCGACGCTCCGGGGAAATCACCAGGCCAGTCGCGCCGGGACCTCTCGGGGCCGTCCCGCCGGCGTGTGCCCGCCTGCCCGCCCGCCCAGGTCCCCGAGTCCCCGCCCCGCGCGGTCCACGCCGGCCCGCGGCCCCGCAGTCGCGTGAGCCTCGGGTCCGCACTGCGGGGACTCGAGTTGGCTGGACACAGCCCGGCCTGGGCCGGAAGGGGGCGCTGCGACCCCAAGGGGCCCGGACCCCCACCCCCAGCCATCCCACCGGGCCCCACCTCTGTCGTCGCTCTCCGCCCGATGAGAGCCAGACCTAGAAACTAAGTTGCAGGATCACTTGGACCCGACTTTCTTTGGGGGTCCCACCCTTGTTTTTTTAATTAATAGGCCAGCAAAAATGTCCACCGTGGGAGCGGGGGTAGGAGGGTTAGAGGAGGACCAAGTGACCAAGGTGGGATGGGGAGTGGTGTTTGCGTGTTGGGGAACCTCTCCTGAGGCCACCGCACACTTGCTGGGAACTGGTTCTACCGGTCAGCCTGCTTCTGGGGTGTTGCTAAGCACAGGCCTCCCCTTTTCCCTGCCAGCTGGGAGCCTGCTCTCGGTGGGGGCTGGGCCTGCCCCTGTCCTTGACCTGGTACTCTGTGCGGGTTGTACCTGGGGGCCCAGTTGGGGCGGGAGAGGGGTTCCCACTCACACTCAGCAAGCCGCCTAGCTCCCAGACAGTCTTCGGAACTCCTCTCAGGGAGTGGCAGTCACTCTCCGAAGACTCTAGGCTTGAGCAATCCAGGTCTCTTGACCTTTCCCAGAAATGACTCAGAAAGCTGAATCATCCCACCAGATCTACAAGCCTGGCAAAGTAGGCCAGGGAGAGGGTAGGGACAGCGGCCAGATCCTGATGCTTAAATTTGGGGGGTTAGATTTATTTTTTGCTGAGATTTATAATTCACATGCCACATACGTCATCGATTTAAAGTGTATCATCCAGTGTCTCAGGTAGGTTCACAACTGTGCAACTGTCATCACAATCTATGTGAGAACCTTGTCATCACCCCTCCCCCAAAGAAGCCTGTACCCTGTAACCATCCTTTCCCAATTCCCTATCCCCAGCTTCAAGCAAGTAATAATCTATTTTTTGGTTTGCCTGTGTTTTGTCCCTATTTCTGTGCCCGGCTGCAAGGGAAGAAAGGTGGGAGGCAGAAAGGCTGAACAAGTAGAGTTTATTGCTCCCAGGCATCAATAAACAGATTGGGCTCCCTAGGGTGTGGTTCGCAGCTACTGCCAGTGTTGTAGGGGGAAGGGTCTCTTATATAGGCTTTAGGTTCCTTTGTTTTACTTTAATGGTGCTTTACACCTGAATGCAAAGGCCTAAATGCAAGGACCGGTTCTGGTTATTGTGGTATTGATAGTGTGCTTTACACCTGAATATAAGGTCTGGTTCGGCACCTCTGATCACATTCAACAGCCTGGTCTGACCATTTTGTGTAAGTGGAATCATACAGTGTCTGCATAACAGTGTACCACAAACTAGGCAGCTTTATAAGAGAAGTTTATTTCTCACAGTTCTGGAAGCCTGAGAGCAGGGCACCAGTTAAGTCAAGCAAGGACCCACTCCCAGGGACATTTTTCTGGTCTCTAATCTTTTCTCTGCCACTAATCCCATTTAGGAGAACTCTAATCGCACAACCTCATCACCTCCCCAAAGCCCTACTTCCCAATACCCAATATTGGTTATCAGGTTTTTCTACATGTGTTTTTTTTTTTTTTTTTCGGGGAAGGGGAGTGGGGAGGACACACAGATCTGTAGGCTATAGTATATAATATGTGATCTTTTATAATTAGTTTCTTTTGTTAAAATATTGGAATGTTGCTTGTGGTTAGAAACTAACAGGATGTTTTTGAAGGCCCTGGATGCTATCAGAAGCCCAGGCACCAGCAGGACATTGCTTGAAAACTAACCAGATGTTATCAAAGGCCCTGGGTATTATCAGAAGCTGAGGCCCACCAGGACATTACTTGCAGTTACCACCTGCACGAAGGAGGATCCGAGAGTGACTCATCCTAATGGACTACATACTTTGGAAATTTCCCAGCCCGTGAATTTCACTATATAAGACCCTCTGTTCAGAGGCTTGGGGTCCATCGGTCTGGACGAGACCACTGAGTTGGTACACTCCCGGAATCGGACCCAGCCCCGGCTAGTAACAAAGGCTTGTACTTGGCTTTTGCATCAGTTCTGTGTCTCAGCATTTCTTGGACTCTAACACTTTCACTTAGCAAAATGTCTTCAAGGTGCTCTGTGTTGTGGCGTCTCTCTGTGTTCATTCCTTTCTATGGCTTAAAAATATTTCACTGGAGAAAATGTTTACCCATTCATCTGCTAATGGATATTTGTGTTTTTTCAGACTTTTGGCTGTTGTCATTAATGCTCCTGAAAACCTTCATCAACAGGCCGCTGCGTGGTTATGTGTTTTTATTTCTCCTGGGTAAATTCCAAGGAGTGGAATTGCTGGGTTGAGTGGTGACTCTGTTCAAATTTGTGAGAAACTCCCAGGCTGTTTTTGACAGTGGCTTCACCATTTGACATTTACCCCATCTGGTTATGACCACTCTCTTTCTCCACATCCTTACCACCCCTTGTGTTTTATCTATTTGACTTTTTGATTGTAGCTATTCGAGTGGGTATGCCTACTGCACTAAATTGTTTTTTTGAGATACAATTCACATGTATTTAAAAGTACATGCTAGGGCCCTCCCTGCTGGCACAACAGGTCAAAGAACAGCACAACGACGCTATCAGCAGCCATTGCAGCATGAGTTCCATTCCAGCCAGGGAGCTGACTTGCATGGCACTCTCCTATCTCCTCTCCTATCTCCCCGCTGCTCCCCTCAGCAGTAGATTTCAGACAACCTGCCTGTTCTGCTCCCCACTGTGTCTCTGGTGAATCCTCCCACCTTCATACCTCTGGCCTATACCTCAATTCTTATATGTATAAATAAATAAATCTTAAAAAAAAAATAAAATTCATGCCTGTGTTTTTTAGTATATACCACTATATTGTATAATCATTGCCACTATTTAATTCTAGAACATTCCATCACTCCAAAAAAACGTCATAGAATTTAACAGTCACTCCCAATCTTCCCCTACCTCCCAGTTAGTTGACAATAACTAATCTATTTTCTATCTCTGTGGTCTATCTAATCTGGACATTCCTTGTAAATAGAATCATATGTGATCTTTTGTGGCTGGCTTCTTTCACCAGTGGAATGTTTTTAAGAGTCATTGTTTTGTCCCTATTTCTGTGACAGGCAGCAAGGAAGAAAGACGAGAGGCAGAGAGGCTGAACAAGTAGAATTTATTGCTCCCAGGCAGCAGCTGAGACTGAGCTCCTTAGGGCTGGGTCTGCAGCTACTGGGAGTCCTGTAGGGGAAGGGTCTCTCATGTAGGCTTTAGGTTCAGATTCTAGAAAGCTGATGCGTCGCTGTACACCTGGATGCGAGGCCCAGTTCATTCCGGTCCTCGTGTTATCACCTATATCTGGTCACACGGGTAGCTGTTGTGTTACTGCCCAGATCTGCTCACACTCAGTAGTCATCCATGTTGTAGCCTTCATTGGTGCCTAATCCCTTTTTATTGCTGAATAATTTGCCTTTGTTCTGGCCTAGCGCTTTTGAAGCCATTGATGTTCCCTCTCTCCCTGCCCTTCCCTGCCCCAAGGAGCATGCAGCAGCCCACAGGCACATGGCACTTTCTAGTGCTTACATCAAATTATATCAAATCTATTATTATGCAGAGTAGGTGTGAATTATTTAGTGAAGGTTAAAAATTCATTTTGGTTTATTTTTTAAATAGCCTGCTTAGTCGAACTTCTGTAACAGATGTGAACCATTCTTTGCATGAATTTGCAAAGTTGAAACTATAATTTTATTGTATTGAAGGTTTTTTTAAAAGTAAAAAGGAAGTAATTTATAATTATTTTTCATCTGTGGCTACTTTTTACAGTTATCATTACTTGGAGGGGGAGCATTTTAATTGTAATAGGACTAAGGTTGAATTTGGAGACATATTGCAGGGTGTATAATATACAATTTAATGGAGATAACAGCAGACTGAACTGAATTATCTATATTTACAAGCTGGTAATTAGTAAGATTAAAGAATATAAGGAAAGATGGTTATATTCAAAATAATAAGATTTCAGAAGAAATTTAATAAAATTAATTGAAATTTAAAGGCTTTATGTTTAATATCCATATGTCCAAATAACCTAGTTTTCCTGTGGATGAATATGGCAAAACTGCTCTATTAGTTCACATTTAATCAATGTGTATGTAATACTCTGAAGATTATTTAAGCTTTCTAGTCCATGTGATGGTACAGGCTGGCACCTTTATATCAGTAAGTGCCTCCACGTTCTCTTTAGAAGGAGATTCAAGGTAGTTCTATAAAGTTACCTTGAACATTGAGTTAGTGAATATTGAGTCATTGCTTCTAGAAGTAACACAGAAGTAAATTCCTATGAGCATCTTGTCATGCATTCATCAATCAATATATAACTTGTTTAATGTGTGTTATTGTGTAAAGATACCTTATTTAATAGCTGCTTTTGATTCATTAACATTGAACCAGCAGTACTATATGTATCATCTAATACATATTTTCTCCACAAAAAGCCTAACTATGTTCTTACATTTAGACACATGAGGAAGCACTTCAGCACTACACCAGTGGACCATTTTAAACAGTGAAATCACCTAAGAAAGCACAAAAATGCAAACAATGTGGCATTAACCAGAATGTGAAAAGATGACAGTTACAATATGAGAGTTGGGATTTGAAGACAGCACTTCATCCTGTTAGATCTCTCAGGCGGGAATATGCGTGCTCCTGACTAAAATGTGTTGCTGCTCTGTATATGTGCATGACTATCAGTCATAGAGAAAGTGCAGTATTGATTTTGCAGTTACAAATATATTTTGTAAGTAAGTGAATCTGCAAATACACAATTCCTGAATAGGGAGGATCAACTGTAAATACTTCCTGCAGGTAAGCTGAAAGTCATTTCCATCCATATTTCGTTGACCAAAGCATCATAGGGCTTGACTAACCTCAAG